CCTCGAAAAACCAGTACTCCTCCCGAGATCCTCGTAATTGTCATAAATCATAGCCCGCCTTAACTTTTGGGATGTGTAAAAAATGAGAAAATCAGGGGAGAGGATGGATGACGTAATGTATGATGAAGCAAACCAAGGGGCAACGCTAGCCGATAACACCCCCAAATCTAAATGCACTATTTGCCTAGAACAGTACTACATAATGGGTATCAGACACGTTCAATTTGAGTTCGATGAACGAGTAGACAGTCTCTCGATTTCCAGCCAGAGGTTGTTGCCCGCATCGTCACAGGCTGCGTCGTACCAGGGTAGCAGCACGACGATTGCCCGAAGGTCGGCCCAGCAGGTGATATGACTACACCGTGCTGTTTGCATAAGCGTGGCCACATACCAGTCTCGGTCTCCGGTGCCCTCAGCCGCGATGCCACCTAGGGTCAAAACCCATAAAAGGGTAACACGGGCTTGCGGCTGGTCCCAGACAGTCAGGCAGTCGGAAACCTCGAGGACACCCTTGAGAAGACCAGAAAGTTTAGCCAGCGGGGTACTTTGTGGCGGTAGGGGGAAGACCACTCCAGAACCATATATACAGCCCGCGAGATGGCAGGCTTCGTAGATAATCTCATGGCGTTGATGATAGCCACTGAAGCCAGGAAGTTGACTGGCAGCTGGGAGAGATAATAACGTGTATTGGACTAAATTACGCTGGTCGGCAAGCAAAGAGTAGTCCGTTCTGATTTGGTTTCCCTTGAGGTAAGCATCCACAATACTCATGTAAAGGTCCATGGCGTGGAAGACCTCCATCATCTCTGTGGTCAAGCCGATCTGTCGGAGTCGGCCGTAATGGTGGTCTACATCGGCCATCGTATACCCGAGCATGTCTCGCAATGGAACCTTCTTCCGGTCCGGTCGAAGCGGAAAGAAAGGAAAGACTGGAGGCGTATGATATGCACTTGAGGTCACGATATCCGACCTAAGATGAACCGTCAGCTTAGAACCGGTCTCCAAATCACATGGAGTGACGTACAGAGACACTACGGGGGCCAACCCGGGTAGGTCAATTGCTTCAAGGCCACCCCGTAGGTTAATCATTGAGATCAAACCTTGGACATGTACCAGGTTTGGTCGCAAACTACCATAGACATCGATCCATTGCAACCGCCGCATGGGTGCCGTGAACGGAATGTGCCGAAACTGTCGTTCTTCACTAATATCTGTTGCGTTATGTGCCATGCATATTACACTCAGAATGACCGCGTTACTGATTGCTCGGCCTGGCTTTTTCATTTCCTGATTGATTAGCTCGATGGCCTCCATTTCGCAGACTCTTAGAAGCTGCTGCTCTCGCTCCCGAAATGCGCCGTCCGGGATCCACCGATTCACCCACTGCACCCGTTGGTGCGAGAGTGACCCAAACGTGATGGCTGTCATTAGAGTCGGCTCAGACATCATCAAGGGAAACCAATTCAAGGCCGAGACTTCCGACCTACTGGCCCCGGGAGTAAGGGTAGGCCATAGAACGGACGTACCTACAGATACCAGTTAACAATTGTTTCTCCAGTCTCTAGAAGGGTTCTTCGGTGATGCTTGCTTCATCTCTTACTTACAATATGCCTGGCATGCGTTGGCGATTTCTGGAGAATGACGCCAGGGGTAGGTCATAAAAGGATCAATGAAATTAGCGCCGATGGTCTCAATATGCTCGATAGGGCCAGGGGGGCTAGAAACTTCTGGACTTGACCCCTGCGAATCGTGGCCATAATCATACTCATATTCGTTGTCGTACTGATGTTCCGTGCTGTCAAGATATAACTGAGAAGCGGGGACAATGGACATTGTCTGCTGTGTGTCCCAGGCACTGGTAGGGGCGGTTTGTATAACCGTTAGACTGTTGTTCGAAGAAACCGATTCAGGTGAACAGGATGAAACTGAGGATCGGCAGGATAGCGAAGGGGGATATAAGTTTATCGTCTCATCTCCATCGAGATCAACAGTGCGCCGGGCATTCTCCCGAGGGACATCACGGCTGGAATTCGCTTCAGATTCTATGGAGCGATCTTTGGTCTGATCGGAAATCCATTTGCCTACATGGGCCCTAACCAAACGCTGTATCTTTAATCGTTCTCCCTCCGAGGACGGCCGAGCATTGACGAAATGAATGGCGTCCTTTTTGCGCCCAGCGGCGCCTTTGCTTGGAGGCATTTCCACCGTTTAATCGGACACAGTCCCATCACATATATGAACTAGATTCGGTGTGTAATTTAGGCGTCAAAACCAGCATTCTGCTGCCGACCAGCTGCACGGCGCGCCAGGTGCCCACTACTACTTTCAGTGAGCGTGTGAGGCAGTATATTGACCGTTCAGTTCAAGTTGTGGCCGGTGGGATGAGGAATGAGAGACCAATGGCGTAGTTAGGACAAGGGGAACGCGCGGTTAAGCGGCCTTGATCAAGGGCGACATGGTCGCCATTAGTTCGAAGAGGGTCAAAGAAAGATAGATAGTACGGCCCACGAGAAGGCAAGTTAGAGAGGAACGAGGGGATTAAATTTCGTGGGGGAAGACAAAGGCTGCGAACGGGATTTGGAACAATTTATTGACTAGCCAACGAACTAGCAGATCCGTCGTAGTTATTATAGTGGGGAGGAAGTAAAAAAGGCCAAGTCGGAGAAGGGAAGGGAAAAAGAGAGATCAGATCGACGCATGAAGAAAGTGGCGCCTGTGTCGGGGCTGGCTCCCCCCCGTGACTCGCACCGGATCTTCGTCAGTGGTGTGTGTCGGTGGGTTCTGAGTTGAAGAACCCTTTTTTCCCTTCCTTTCTTCTCTTCCTTGCTTTCCTTGGTTCCCTCTCTCATGGGTCAACTGGGTCAACGACAGCAGTGATCATGACAGGAAGTCAATTTAACTTTGGTCTGACAAGAGCTTTGTGGTTCGGCCCATTTTGCCAATACTCATTCTCGTTCTAGCTCTTCTCCTCTCAGTCTCATGGTGGATCGACAAAAAGTCCGTCGTCTTTGCACTTGGCACGCCTTTTCCTAATTTGATTTTGGCTATTTATTCTTCTTCTTCTTCTTATTATTATTATGATTTTTTTATCTTCCATTTTCCTTTCTTTCCTCTTCTTTTCTTTTCTTTTCAACCCCCTTGAATAGAATCCCTCACATTTTTAATTTCTTTTTCTAAATTTACTCCTATACTTGAACTATTTGATTGTCTTGCTTTCCCGGGGGATGATCATCCCTTGCGCCCCCATCGATTGCTGACTGACTAGTGGAATCCAAGCAATAGGCGTGCCTGGATATAATTTGCGGGGACCACCTACACCATGCAAGCGGCCAAGGTGACATCTCACAAAAAGCAGTGTGATCCTCAGATATTGATTCGAACTGCATATGATCGGCTGCCACAATCATTGTGACGACACTGGCACCGAATGGCTTTGAATTGAGGCTATCCAACGGGGAAAGCTAGAATTACACACCACCATTTCAAGAATCCATATCGTAAAATGATCAACATACCTCCTGCCGGTTCATGTGGCTTGGTCGGTGGTTTCTCACTCTATCCCTATCCTAACCGCTATTCGCATAATACCGCTCACCAACCACTGTTTCACCGTAGTCGACCATATCCTGCCCCTGCCGCCCTCAACGCTGTACTACCAACATCCACGGTTACGACAGGATGGCTATTGGTCTGCTCGTGAAGTTTTCGACAACATGGTTCTAAGGATTCTTTTGCGCATGTCAATACCATTTAGTTGACAACACGAGGCGCCTCCCCTGCAGCCACGCGCGGAGCCAGACCGTTAGGACCCAACTAACCAAGCCAGCTACCAGATTCGCGCGCGATGACGAAATTTACCCCGACAATTATGGGTAGGGCCCGGTATCTCACCCGATACGAAACCGATAACTCGGAAATTCGACTTTCGCTGCTTAACCATCCCCCATCTCCACGGCGGAGCATAGAGAATCAGCAGCATACTCTAATTGCTGACAATCACTTTACTTACTAGCACGTCATCAGACCACCGACGGGCCTGGAATACTAGCAGACGCTCCCCAGCATCCTTACAGGACGCCATCACGTCTGCCAGCTACTAATAGATGGTCTGCACCTTCAGTACCCTTGCATGGCGGGTCGCGCTGAGCGGAGATTGGGCGGGTGGTCATCTCACTTTAACTCTCCGCTACAGAGCTGACATTGTATGACCCACATTTCCTGACATTGGTAAGATGTACCTTGCTCCCACCCCTGCTGGAACATTCCCTTAGCTACAAGCACGCGCGGCTCCACTCACATCTCGTACGGAGAAGGACTCGATGAGTTTCAAATCCCGAACACGTTGACAGGTACGTTGCCTCTTTGTACATATTCGTGCGTCAATCACCGGCGGTGCGCAGGTGTCTATCGGGACCACGAGAAGCAGAAAGTCGGCCTATAATATGCTCCATATGGAGCTGTTTGTTAACCCTCAGTTCCCACAGGACATCCTGTTTATTCGCAGGGAAGCATGGCTTCGAGGAGGCGAAGCGGTGTGTCCTGAACACGAGAAACCTTCTCTCTCTGCCTTTGCGAACCATGCCGACCACTTGACTGAAACCATAACGGTTATGATCAGGATTCATTTGAGAAAGACAGAGAAAAGCACATAATTAAAGTAGTTATGCCAAGGTAGTTGATTCACGAGAGATAGAGTATTGGTACGTGTCTGCCAAGTATCTATGGTTGATAAGAAAGCCACCCATGGAATTGCGATGCCCACCCAATAATTGATACGCAATGGAAACATCAATAAAGTTTCGCATGTATTGTGCAACACCCGCTCGACTCTTTCCTAATTATGTTCTATCTTCCGAGAAAATGATGTCACCACCATTAGATATCTGATAAGCGATAGGCGACCAAAAAGCATGGAAACACTCGGTACAACCGAAACTGTCAAACCTGAAAGCTTGACTAGAAATTCCTAGGACCATTCAATGTAACCTCATCAAACTTAATTAGTCAAGTTCAATCAAAGTATACTTGCCACTCTCCCCGGTCGCCGGATCCCGGTACTGTTCCAGCGCCTTCTCCACTGCCTCCATGTATCCGAGCACCTTCTCCTCTTGCCATCTTCTACCGACAACTTGCACCGCTGTGGGGAGTCCGGCCATCTTCGCTGCGTCGTAGTGCTTCCAGGCGCCTGTGCGATGGCATTGTTGGCGCCCAGGCCCTTGAGGATCTTCTTGTAGGGCGCGGTGAGCGCGTCCCGCTTGGCGTCGACATGGGAGACAGGAAGCACACCGGCCGTGTAGTCGAGGAGATTCCATAGGAAGGTGTACCCGCAGGAGGAGACGGCGTCGCGCATGGCCTTGTGCGGGAGGGCCGGGGTGGCGTTGACGGGGCAGAGGATGAAGTCGTACTGTTGGGGCTCGGCATCCCACCAGGCGTGCCAGGTAGCGCGGAACGACTCGCGCTTGGCCACTAGCTTCCAGGTTTCGGCGGAAGACTTGGGAGAGAATGTGCGGATCAGGCTGGCCCATTTGAAGTCCCGTCTGATGTACCGGACGTACAGGTAGTACAGGTAGCGGAGGGGACGGGGAAGGTTGCAGATGCGGGTGAGTTGGTCGGCGCCTGGGTCTGAGGGCTCGAAGTTGTATCGGTGGGAGTTGAATGTAACGCATCCGTCTGTGTTGAGGAGCTGAGAAGCGAGGTGGAGACCTGTGAAGGGGTCGGCGGTTGCTGGGGTTGTGATCTCAGAGACGGTGTGGCCGGCTGCGGTGAGAGCAGCGACGGTGGTAGACAAAGCGCGTTCAATTGCTGGGGTTGGGGGCACGACTCCTGTAGAGAGTTAGAGAGAGAGAGTTATTCAGCGAGGGGTTAGGCGTTCTCACCATCGTTGGTCATCAGTCCAATACGCAAGCTCTTGCTCTTGGCTTCAGATTCCTCTTCATCGCGCCAGGAAATGGGATGAACGGTATAGTCGTACTTCCAGGGCTTCATACTAATGATGGCCTTGGTGAAGTAGGTGAGGTCATTCAAGGTACGAGCCATAGGACTGAAAACACTTGGAACGCCTTCTTGGCCGGCCATGCTGGTGTTGACTCCCACCTTGGGCCAGCGACCAGTACTGCAGCGCAGGGAGTAGATACCGCTCCAGGCAGCGGGGACACGAACAGAGCCTGCGACGTCTGAGCCAATGCCGATACGGCCACCCAGGGCGAGTATTGCGCCTTCACCACCAGTCGAGCCTCCAGGGGAGTATTCTGGGACATGAGGGTTACGGCAGTGGCCCCATAGCGCATTTGCGGACTCGAAGGACAAAAGGGTCACTGGCAGTGCCGTCTTTACATACGGTACAGCACCTAGAAGAGGTAAGCAGATGTCTGTCCGTATACAAGGTGTGCAACACTAACCAGCGTCCTTCAACAGCTTCGCCATAGGGCCATCTTCGCTGTATGGCTTTTTAGCCAGCCGTGTGTAACCGAGACTGATATCGAAACCCTTGACTTGCACCGAATCTTTCAAGGAAATAGGTACACCTGCCAACGGGCCCTTGAGATTGACTTCTGACTGTAGCCATGACTCGGCTTCGGGGAGAAGGAGCTCTGTTACACAGTTGGTCTTTTCATGGGCCTTGACGGCTACCTTGCCGTAAGTCTGGAGTACGTCGGCGGCCGAAAGCGAGGAAGATTGGACCTCTTGGACCAGCTCTTCAATTGGTTTGTTGATGACGGCCTTATCAAAGGTTGTGAAAGGGGCATGGTATGCTGCAGGGAGAGATGCGAAACGGGCAGCCCGTTCTCTTCTCTTGTAATCCCTGCGGACTAGTTAATTGGTTCTTCATCGCCGAATAGGTAGCTATACACTATAGCTCCGTAGGGGAGTGGAGCGGAATAGACAGTGAAGACTTACCGAACACTACGATATGTAAAATAGTCAAACGGCGGAAGCATCATGAATGGTAGGCTTGCCTGAGGAGAGTCCTGCAGGGGAAGAGAATACCTTGGGAAATCAGGGGAATGCAACACGAAGCGGAATTGGAGCTCTATTTATTGCGGGGGGAAACGACATGCGGAGAGAACTACGATAGGACCCGCTGATAAGCGCTGCCGGAGATGTGAGCTGTTAAGGCACTTTCAAGGTCCTTAAAGCCACGACTTACCTCCCATACAGCACTTTGTAGATACGATACTTATCTCTTAGGTCTGCTATGCATGATGTGCTCCATGATCGCATTATTCACAGTTGATATGGCTGCAAAAGCAGGGATAGACAGGACGTGAGCGTCAGAAGCAAAGTCTCACGTGACTGATATTGTGCCGACTGCCGGATATCGAGTCAACCCTTTCAGGCAAGTCCATGCGGACACTGCGAGACGAGCGCTTTGTACTCTAACCTATATACTACTACTAGTACTACTGTGCAGTTGTATGTAGGTACTCTGCTTATCTCTCCATCACAGAATAAGTATGATCCGTAACATGACCGCTGATTGGCTAAACCCACACTATTCATCCACTCCTCGATTAAAGCTATGTCGAAGTGATGCCCGACCATATAGGCAGCAAGGCGAGCGAAAGCGCATACAGACATCGCATCATGGTAAAATATATTAAATCCAGCTAGGTCATACATGTTCAGTGAGAAAGGAAAACAGGTTAAGGCGAAGCATTTGTGACATCATGGAACCGAAACATCCTGGGTATTTCCTATTAAGTCTGAACCTTCAACGCCTTCAAATTCAAAAAACCGCCGATGAGACCTGCTCAATGATAACTCAAACCTCGATTAAAGATTGGTGGTTTGCAAGATGTCGGCGAAATGAATGATAGTCTATGCCGCTTCCTTATCGCGTGGGTCTGCAGTATCGCCATGTCAAGTTATCGTGGGTTGCCCGTTGTAGACGACGCCCGCGTATCCACATAGAACCAGGACCCGTATTAGCGGCCATGCGCCAGGCAATCGTGACACAAATTCAAATTGATATACCGCCAGTGTCGGTCCTCCTGGCATGTTATGACTTGCGCAACCAGTTGTGAGAATGGAGCCACCAAAAGACCACCACCACACCAGCAACCACTATAGCAAACGTTGCAAGTATCAAGAAGCCACAACAGATCCATCGGCGTCGTTTCTTGCGTTGCTTCAGAATCCAGTCATCCCTAGGTTCAGCTGTTAGTGAACATAATCTGGAAACCTAGACATCGTTGTCCCAAGCAAAAAGCCTGGACATAGGGTCAGTCGGCCTTACGAGTAGATGACACCGCTCTTATTTTCCGTCTTTGAAGCTTTTGCTTCCTCATCAAGATGGATGGCGCGCGAGAAGCGCCTCCAAAACGCTGGGTCTCGAACAAGAGCCATTCCGTGGGTTAAATGTTTACACGTTGGAAGACATAAGGACCGCTTACAATCGGCCCTTGAAATAGGATGTGTTGGTGTACTCGAGAGATGTAGTTCTTGGGTGATATGGGGGGTCTTGTGGTAAATATCAAGTTGATCGACGTGATTCTCGCGTGTAGTGAATTTCTTTTGGTACGGGTGGCTTGTGTCACCAACTCTTTCTCCCCGTTCTTTCTCAGTAAGGGAGAATAATTAAGAGTAGAAACTGGAATAGTCTCAACAAAGGGCTTGACAGGATAAAAACCGAGTCTTTGTTCAATTAATCTGCAAGTAGTAGAGGCATATCAAGCTGTCTCCCGGAAGGTAATGAGACTCGAGGAGGAGCACCCAGACAAAGAAACGGAGAACTGAAGAGGAGACAAGGGGCGCACACGCCCCAGCAACAGTGTTGTGCCCTCAGCCATATTTATTCATTCTTCCATCGGATTGAATGTAGCAGATTGGGGCTTCGCATTCCAGACGCAGGCCCACTGGAATGACAGGACGGCCTGAGGCCCGCTGTGGAATCTCAGATCGGCAGCACATGAACCAATCACAACTCTCCGGCTTCAACAAGCATCCCGTTGTTTGTCTATGCCATACAACTCGATGGGGTGGTCTGGAACTAGTTCCAGCAAGCTCGGATTTTAGCGAGGTTTCTCGGTGACATGATAGTCAACTCTGAGGTAGATCACTTCACCGTCCCATACAAAATAGACTAGAAGGCGTTAATTAATATAGAAGCTTCTCGGACGGGTGGTTGAAAACCCCTTCAATTAAAGCTCAAGCGATTGAACTCAAGTTGTTACCGACGCTCCGAGGATTGATCTGCACGAGGTATTATAGTACAGTTTAGAGATTGTTGTGTATTCGAAATCTCAAGAAATGCGCCTCATCGATCAACATGGATATTCTAAGGAAGGGAGTAACTCGTAAGTAGGCCTTCACAACACACTTACATGCCAAGTCTTCTTCCCCCTTTACCACGTGCAACTGGTTCGGGTCATCTCAGGATAGTCAACATTCATGGGACTATTTTGCATTTTTCATTGAACTATGGCGGGAAGATGTTCCCGTCCTTCCTTGTCAATTCCGAAAACTCGAGTCATGGAATCAAGCTCAAAGTTTCTTGAATGCGGGAAATATCACCTATGTAATTTATTTTTAAACGAAGAATGCTCTCCTGATCAGGCAGGAGACAATAGTGCACATAGCATATCTTATCATTGCCACGGGGTGTCAACTGGGAGCCGTGGTATTACAACTGAAAGGGTGAAATTCAACATAGCAAACACAAAGAGGAAAACGGAAAATAGAAAAAAGGTAGAATGAAAAAAGAAAAAAAAAAAATGAACACTAGACAGAGCTACTACATATGAAACTTCCTTTTTTACACAAAGAACTGGGTGTAATAAAGCTGTAAGAGAGAGCAAGGGGCATGAAGGGTCAGAAGTATACAATAGCAACACAAGATATATATCCTGTTGTTCACGGCCTAATTGCTAGACTTGCAGCTACGAGATAATGCTCAAGAGGGTAAATCACTACAACTCTAGAATTATCCGATATTAATCCTATTCAGAAACCAAAGTTTCTCCTTAGGATTTTTCTTTTTTTTTAACTCGAGCAAAAAGTGCGTGCTGGAGAGCATCCTGTGCACCTGACTGGTGGCTTAGTTGGCCGTACTCCTCAGGCACATGCGGGGTGTTGTTTGCTCACCTGCTCAGGCACCCAGGCACTCTGGGCGAGATCCCTGCCACGAAATGGGACCAAAAGGGTTTCCTGCAGGTAAACTGCTGCAGCTTTGCAACCTTCCATCCCTCAGGTTCCATTTCCGTCCACCTCCTGATTCGCCTTTCCCTCGTAAATGAGGCGGATCGGGCTGACCGCCTGCCAACAAACAGCATCATCATTTGGGCTCCCCCACAGTGGAGCGATGACGATGGGTGCCTAACCGCCGAGTGTGGCCTGTTACTGTCCATGACTGGATACACTTATCGATCGCTCCAGTATTACTCTGCCCACCTTTCCAGCTTCATTCGTCTTGTCATTCCGGCTTCATTAATGCAGCGATCGCGGTCGCTGTTTTCAAATGTCTTCGCCGCGGCCCAGACTCTTGCCCGGCCATGTCCTCCATCCACAATGAGGGCGCTGATTTTTGGGGAGTGTTGATTAACGCCGACAAGAGCCCCACCCCGTTACTCGAACAACTGTGCCTGGGGATTGCGCAGGTAATGGTAAGTGGAAAAAGAGAGTTCCTCGCGTTCGCGGAAGGTGGCACAATGCCTCAAATGCTGAACTCTGTCCAGACCTCCTTCGACGAGTTCGCGACAACGGACCTGACTCCCGATCGACTGGCAGCGTTTTACCGAAAGGTTGGCGGCAATTACGACGTCCTATTCCTAGAAACGAGACCGTCCGCTCTTTCGTTCATATACCAGCGCCTAGGATGCTTCCACAGCATTCAGCCTACCAATGATCCCTACAAACCACCCTCGATCCCCGCTCTACAGCCCAATGGCTTTGTCCGATGGCAAACAATTCAGCTTCTTCTCGACCCCGATGAGCACTCGAGGTGGTTACAGAATGCGGTCGATCTATGGGACATTGAGACTCCCAATGGTGGAATTTTCCCCAAGATGATCCCTAGAGGAGCTTTCCCAGCGGATCCCGATCCGGAGATGATACAGTGGCATGAAGAGGTCAGCCGACGGTTTGAGCTTGACTACTGGAAGAAGAATATCCTGCGTTCCTCCCCTCCAAATTTCGCTCCTTACTATTCATACTTCAGCCAGAAGGATGTACCGACCCATAAAGAAGATGAACCATCTCGGAGTCAGCGTCGAACTGCTCCTCACCGTCAAGAGCCTACTTCCACAAGTGAGCGTCGAAACCCCCATAAACACCGTCATCGACGAAGCGACGAAAAACCCCCTGCCACTACTCGCAGGGTACAATCTACATACTTTCCGCAACAATCTGAAACCTTCAACACCGGGTATTCATCTCGACCATCATCTCCACCGATGTGGGCGAAAGACTCCACCAAGTCGCGGACGCGCGAGCGCCAACAGGCTTACGGGCGATCTGTGAGTCCAGGAACAGTACCAGGGTATGGAGGATCAGATGCATCTTCCGAAGATTCGGGAGCAGCAGTACCAGAGCCCCCGAGGTCAGATCGATACAGCTACCATCGCAATCTATCACCGCCGCGAGTGTCCCATACGCGTCGCCACTCGCACGATGCATACGCCCGCCGACCTCGAAAGGATTTATCTCCCGATCCCCATAAATACCCCGCACACCCCGATACATATCACTCCAATCCAGGAAGATTATACGACTCTGATGGGGCGCGAAAAATACGTACCTCCAAAGCATACAACGATGAACCGCTCCAGCACAGAGTATCAGGCGTTGGATTCCGCGAGCGCGTCGTCAGCGACCCGCCGCCCACTTTCCCACCTGGCCGCGAAGTGCCCGTATTTACCCGCATGCATTCTCGCTACGTCGGTGCTGGCGATACCTACATCGTCCATCCCCATCCAGATCTCGAGCCAATGAGCGACCGACGTAATAGCTACCACCGACCCACTAATGCCAACTCGAACGGAAATAGTACCTGTACGCCCGAGCGCGCGCGCTATATCGATCCCCGGAACCCTAGGTGGGCGGCACCTGTCCAGAGTCCTTCCAAGAGAGGCGTGCCCGTTCAACCGGCAGACGTCGAATATCCCCGAGGCAGGAGAACAGCCATGTATGATCGCTAAAAAGGTACAAAATCGAACATCGCAACGCGACAGTAATGATGTGTGTTTGATTTGATTAAGTAGAAGCTTATCAAATATTGACAGTATTACTAACGATAGCTTACCCGACTAACACTAGTCGGACTACTACTTGAACGCCGCAGACTGGGGCTTGTAATCCTGACACCGAAGCTCTCGGATTTGGCCCTAAAGTTGGCCCGGCTCAACTTTACGAATTACGATTGATGATGACGCATGGAACCTTGAATTGATATGACTATGGGAAGGCTATTTCGGTGATTGCATTGAGTTCCTGTTTCTGGGAGGCTGTTTTTGCATTTTTGAAGCATGACTAGCGTGAACTTCGGATATCACGATTACGACTTACGACAGACTAGAGATTAGAATCTCCCCTCTTTTCAGTTAACAGAATGCATTAGTGCATTAATGAATCATATATGATTCCTAGTGCGTATACTACATTAACATCTATCTACAATCGTTACTCGACCTCATTAACCTCATACCGTCCACGTCCTCCACATGTGAGTATTAAGCATTAAGCCGTAAAGTTGGCATTCTGAAACGTAAACCCGTAATCCTCAAAGACGGCACACTTCCTCGACAGACCGGGATTATCGATCCAAGAAGGCGGCATGCCCAACAAACTGACATTCCGCTGCTCAGGCCGATACTCAGGCACCCGGTACCCGTTCGTCACGAAGATATCATACGTAGACGCATAGGCCGGGCCACGGACCTGTAAGAAGGCCTGGTCCGGGTTGGGGTTGCGAGAGCGGAAGAATGAGCCGAAGATATCATTCAGTAGCTGCGAATGCAGGATGTCATCCTGATCGTAGTAGGGGTCAACGTTGCGGGTCTTGCTGTTGAGGGTTCCCCAGACGGGGAGCACGTCTGAGGCGTGGCAGCTGGCGTTGTAGTTGTTGTTCGGGGAGCAGATCTCTGGCACAGAGACGTTGGTCTGGATGTGGCCTCGTGTGAGCTCGACTTCGTAGAGCTGGGGGAAGACACGGTCGCCGCCTTTGCGGAGGAGGTAGGACTGTGCGCAGCTCCATTCGCTGTGGGTTAGAGCGTCGGCGGCGACATTGCGCGTGCTGTCTGGGTCTGACATGTTGATAGGGAAGGCGTTGGAGCTGATGAGCGATTCGGCCAGTTTGGCGGGGAAGGCGGCCTTGAACACCGTGTTGAGGGCCGTTTGGCTTGCGCCGAGGGCCGGTACCGATTGCGCCACGTAAAGGGAGGCTTCGTCGGTGACCGTTGTGAACATGGTCGGGACGCGATTGGGGAGGCGTTCGCTGGCGAGGAGTTTGTGGAATTGGTCGTCGATTACCCCACCGTGAGGGTCGACTATGGGCATCAGCGGCTCGATGGCGGCGAGGAGCTGGCTGACGTGGAGGTAGTCCGAGGCGAGGGTCTTGGTCCAAGCCGCCTGTGCTTGTTTGAATTCTGTGGTGTTACTGATGAATTTGGTTTCGGGGACGGATCGCAGGCAGGATAGGAGCTCCTTCTCGGACGTGGTTTGGTTGCAGCCGACGGCCTTGGATAGTTCTGGTACAATGGCGTCTGCGTAGACTTCGCGCGTGAACCAGGGTAAGTCTACCGGTGCGGATTGAGCGATGGCTCCGGAGAAAAGACCTCGCGCGGAGGTTGAGGAGAGTAGTGCGACAACGCTCTGGCCGCCGGCGGACTGCCCGAAGATGGTGACCTGGGATGGATCTCCACCGAATGCTGCGATATGTCTGTTGACCCATTTCAGCGCGAGGATCTGGTCTCTTGTACCGTAGTTTCCGGTTGTGAGGTTGCCAGTTGTCAACCAACCCAATGCTCCTACTCGATAGTTGACCGTGACGACCACGACATCGTTACGACTGGCGAAGTTTCCACCGTCGTAGTCAATCATAGACGCGCTGCCACTGACGAACGCACCGCCGTAGAAATACACGGCGACAGGCTTGCGGGTTGAGTTATCGTTGGAACCCGCAGGCAAGATGGGTGTAAAAACATTGAGGTAAAGACAGTCTTCGGAAATGCCTCCATTCCCCAGTGTTCCAAAGGCTGACAGGGCTTGGACACAGCTATCGGCCACTTTGGTTGCATCGCGTTTCTTGGGGCCAGAGAACGGTTTTGGAGGAGCAAAGCGCAACTCGTTCACCGGGGCATCTGCGAAAGGAACACCAAGGAACCGAAACGATCGTGCGTCGCGATATCCCGTCAGAGTGTAGTTCTCTGCTTTGACGGTGATCTTGGATGAGGCGACGGCGGTTCTGTCTTTGTCGGTGGTTGGTGGGACACTAGATGTGCATATGACGGGGAGCTTGGAGCTGCACGATGCCGACACCAGCCGCTTTTGTCCTTGAGAATACGCTTGACACTCCTTCGATGAGCCATCAGGGGCTACCCAGAAACGGCTGTCTGGATGAACATCTCCTGAAAAGACGAGGTAGGCTAGCTGGTAGTCTATCTCAGAGCGCTCAGACTGAGGGGCAGACTCGAGTGGGTAGAGGTTCTCCCCAATGGCAGCACAGCGTGCTTGTGCCTCTGTCTGAGACAATTCGTCGTAGACGAGTACCGCTGCAGTCCCATTGTTCTCAGGGCCGAGGTTATTGTAGTTCAATGCGCGCAGCCGTCCCAGTGAGCTCGTAGTTGGAGGACTTGTAGCGGTCGGAGCTGCCAGCGCTGGCGAGCCGAGAAGTAGGAAACCGGCGAGAGCCTGCAACTGCATCTTGTCTCGGAATACGCCAAAGGCAACAATGCGCAGATCTCAGAGTTTTGGCGATTCCTCTTCGGAGTGACAGCCGAGACGGGGAAATTAACCAGTATTTATATGCACTGCGCGGAACAATCGGAACCAAAGGATCAGGAACCAACAGATACGGGTTGTTTACTAGCAGAGACCTCACGATAGGCAGAATGGGAAAGGAGGGCTGTGCTAGTAGCCAGTGACATCTCGAGCACTAGCTGGAGACAGTTACTAGCGCATTGGCTCCAGCAACGGTGCTTCTTGTCATGGAGAGCTTTGGCGAGATGACCAATGCGAAGGCGTAGCTCGGCAGAAAACTCCCAATAACCAACTGAGCCAAGAGACACTAGTAGTGAATCGATACTACGCAGCACAAAGATCTCCACAAAAAACCTGGAGTAAAAGGTGGAGTTCGGCATTCAGCCGAGGCTTTTCAGGCCGCATCTCTCAAGGTTCGCCCCATCGGGAATAGTGCCATGTGATCCAACCCTAGCCCTGTGCCCTATATATTTCAAAAAGTGGTCAGTTCTTTGGCCCTGATAGAGGATGAACCCCATTAATCTGTGCATACTCTGGCTTTGCTGCGTCTCGGGGATATAGACCGGGTATGGGGACTAACGTTGAGTCCTAGGAAGCATTGCATAGCCGATATATTCTGCTACCCTCAGATCCTATCCGACTAACCCTGCCTTACGCAACTACAACCACTGCACCAGGAGGTCTCCCTTCGAACCCGTCACTTTACTCCCTTTTCCAGCGGCCGGGGAAAAAGTGTGTAAGGGCGAGAACGATCGTAGTAATAAAATCCCTACCCCCCGGGATTTTCCCTAGGGACACCTGCTAATGATCTCACAGTCCTGTCTGGGGATTATTGGCAGAGATGACTGAGTTTTTGTTTTTTATTCTTTCCTTCAATCTGTATCTTGCCTTCTATCTTCATTGTACCTCTGTTTCTATCCTCAGTTATCCTACAGCAGTCACTCGATGTAGTAATGGGTAGCTACCCCTGCCTCCTTTCTCTCCATGGCTGTGCATTTCAGCATTTCGCAATGAATACTCTGTTAGACCCACCGTCCTTCCATTCTTGATGCTTTTCATCCCCAGTTTACACACCACATGACTGCAATCACCATATTTGGACATCGTGCTCACTCCGTATGTCTCACCGTCACTGCCTACCATGACGGCCACATTCGCCTCATTATTCGGCTTTGACCCACTGATGTCTGTACTGCCTTTCATGACTATTGCTTTCTTATCTTATAGAACCTTGACTTCGATCATTTCCAAGAACTAGACGCTCTGCCGCACAAAGAACACAGCACAAACAGCTACACCCATAAGAATGGTATACAACGGATAACATCAGTCAGATGAGTCCACCTATTTCTGAAACTAGTCAACGTTATATCAGGTAATACCCACTCTGCTCCAGCATTCATGCATACGCGACATAAGCCAACCTTATAGAGCATCTTACACCAGCGATGGCATTATATTACTTACACCTTTCTGCTGATGTGATCATCAATACCCTGACGACTGGCTATTTATACATCTAACATGGACTCAAAAGACATGATCGCCTCTTGAATAAAGTATCTTATAACATCTCCCCTGCCTTACTAGCGGGTAGGATCCATGCTAACAACTTCTTTCATCTGGACTTCAGTAGATGTTCCGGAATCGACAGCGACCTATTTCGTCCGCTGTGCCTCGGATTTGTTAGAAATGGCAGCCGTTGGCATATGACCCGAGCGTGCACTTTCGTGGTACAGATTGTGCTACAGATCCTGATCGCTGGTGATATCTTGGACCACCTCGTTGTCGATGTGGGGTTTCCTTACTTGGTAGGGGTCTATGACAATAAGCTCTACTGATATGGTAGGACTCAGGAGTGCGAGTGCCCTGGTGATGGAATTTTCAGCAAGATACAGTAGATAAAGTCACCCAGAGCATGCTTAAATCTAGTACTTGTCGTGATTGGAGCGTAAAGGAAATATATCAACTACGTTGGCCGTCGGACAAGCGTGAAATGATGTTTCCCGGACGGGGAACTCAAAAGGAGGATAAGGTTATTTCAATCAATGTGAAATCTATGGGAAACGAAAATGGTCCCGGCGCCGCACCAGACTCAGTAATCACGCCTTTGTTGCTAAGCAGTCACGTCACGGGTACTTCCCCCCGAAGCCCGATGCTTAAAACTCAAAGATTCTCAAATGTTACATTCAACAAAATGATGGGGATAAGACGTCATTTGATTTGTTGATAAGTCGATGATAAGTCCTGCCCAAAAAAAAAAACAAACGCATGGTCAGACAGAGTCAGCACAGTCAGAGCGTGAAACTGTGGGAAGAGGCAAAAGACTAGAACGTTCGGCAACCTCGAGCCTCGGCGATCGCAAGGTGACATTCAATTGATCCGCCACCCCGAGGCGTGATGGTAGAGTAGGATAATACGGGGTAAGGCGCCCGGGATGTCGTCATCCACCCTGCTTGCGGGGACATTTTGTCGGGCCAGAACATCCGCACTGCCGAATGCTGACATCCAGTATAAGTATTATCTTCACGCCCCCAGGGAAACATTTCTGAATTTGATTTTGCGAGGGGACTGTTATGAAATGATATGGTGCTGGAGTTTCACGACACTCACGGCCCCATTCGTTCGCTAGTTGCGCCCGAATGCCTCACCCGCAATGAAAGACCCTAGAGGCGCCGTGCGTATCGTGGAAGTAGGACCGCGGGACGGCCTACAAAATATCAAAGACCATGTGCCCACGTCAGTAAAGATAGAGTTAATTCGACGACTCCGCGGCACGGGTCTTCAGTCCATCGAGTTGACGTCGGTAGTCTCCCCTCGAGCGGTTCCGCAGTTATCGGATTGTCGAGATGTGCTGCGCATGGAAGATATTAAGTCACTGCGGAAGGAACCTAATATGCGTCTTCCAGTGTTAGTTCCCAATATGAAGGGTCTGGATATAGCACTCGAATACGGTGTTAAGGAGGTTGCGGTCTTTATCAGCGCTACAGAAGGGTTTAGTAAGGCCAACATCAACTGCACCGTGGAGGAGGGCTTAGAAAGGGCGAGGAATATTGCAGAGAAGGCTACTAGCTGTGGCCTGGCTGTCAGGGGGTAAGTATGTGTGTGACTGGATGCATGAACTGTCGTGGCTGACGTTTTGTGAAGATACGTATCATGTATATTCTCCGACCCTTTTGACGGCCCAACGGCGCCATCCGCAGTCCTTCATTGCGTGAGAGAGCTGCTCGAGATGGGATGTTATGAGGTTAGCCTTGGAGACACACTAGGTGTCGGCTGCCCCGATAAAGTAAGAAGCCTTTTGGTGTATCTGGAGGAACATGGCGTATCTCTCGATTTGCTGGCGGGCCATTTCCACGATACGTACGGCCAGGCTGTAGCCAACACTTGGGAAGCATATAACTGTGGGCTTCGTGTGTTTGATAGCAGTATCAGCGGCCTGGGAGGTTGCCCTTACGCACCGGGCGCCAAGGGCAATGTTGCCACGGAAGACCTAGTTTATATGTTTCACAATGCGGGGATTGCCACTGGCCTTGATATGCTCAAGCTGGTGGAAACCGGTCTGTGGATATCCACAAGACTGTCAAGAGAGAATGCAAGTCGGGCTGGAATAGCGCTCGCGAACACACACGGACTAGTGTGTCCACCGCGACAGACGGACCACACACCGGCCAAGGCAGCAACTTGGTCCCCAGTGAACACCAAGGGCAGGCTACTGACATATCGCTCGGGTGGCAATTTTAAGATTGTACTCAATCGACCGAAAAGGGGCAACACATTCACGCAGAAGATGGTCGCCGACCTTATAGCTATTATCGCAAGTTGCAACAAGGACCCTTCCCTCTTGAACATTATCATCACTGCAACCGGGGGATACTTCTGCATGGGAGTGGAAATTGGAAAGACTATGCCATTCATTGCTCAGGGTGCTTCAAGAAATCCCCAGGCAAAACATCTTGCTGCCTTACTGGAATTGATGAAACGCTCACCCAAAACGACAGTTGCATGCATAAATGGTCACGCCTTTGGTGGCGGTGTCGAGTTAGCACTTGCTTGTGATGTCAGGGTTAGCCTTAGGGCAGCAACATTGACATTTACCGAGGCGACATTTAAACAGGCCAGGAATTCTAGCTCGAAGTGGAAGAGCGCTTTTATACGCAACGCAGTTTTCTCCACTCATTCCACCACGGCGGAAAATCTCAAGTCACTAGGGCTGGTATCTGAAATTGTGGAAGACCAGGGACAACTACGGGCCGGCCTTGATGATTTGCTCATACGCCTGAACAACTCCAGACCTGCTAAACCACGGGTGTCCAAGGAGCTTTCATGGTCGACGAGGGCGAATGCGGGATGGGATGCACAGGTTGATACTCTTGATGCGACTTTTTTCAAAACGATGAAGCTTGATGTCGGCCAAGGCGACATGAAAGCGTCCTACAGCGGACGTAGAGATGATTTGAAACGTGCATTGAAGAGCGTTTGGGGACAAGGTCGCCGATGGAGAGAGGGAGCGGCCGTATGAGTATTTTGATTGCAATGGTGTATGGTGTGGATTTATCCCATAGACCATTAGAACATAATCTAGGAGCAGGGTCGTGCCCTTGTGCCACGCTACTCACAGCAGAGCAGACGAGGAAGATGTACTATAGAATTCATATGAAATGGCTGTGCATGCCAAGCTAATGTTTTTAGTGCTTATGTTCGTGCCAAACCATACTAGTAGCTTATCTCAAATCTATCCCTGCCTATGGTACGTGTGTACATATCTATGGACTATATGTAATTCCCCCGCAGATAAGCGAAAGATGCCGGCTAGTCAGGTGGTGTGCGCGCTATACTTACACGGATTATGTAGCGGTATGCTGGGCCGTTTACCTAAATTCCACTCTTCTCCGCACAGAAAAGCACTACCACCTAACCGACAGTTCTACGTAACATCATGACCATACGGCAGTCTCCCTCGCCCTTTACGCTGGAATTTGACTCCCTAGTACAGAAGCAGTTGGAGAAATGGAAGGTGCCCGGCATTACAATCTCCGTGGTTCACGGCTCGAGCACTTATGCGAAAGTGCGTAAATGATTAAGCGGCCACATGAATTTGTACTGAGTGACATAGGCCTACGGCATTGCAGAATTCCCAGACCAAAAGATGACTGTTGATTCTCTATTCACCACGTGCAGCACCACCAAAGCATTCACTGCTGCTGCGGTATCCATGGTGATGGACGACAAAAAGGAGACCCCCTCACCTCTCAGATGGGATACGCCAATAGCATCCTTAATTCGAGGTGACTTTGTTTTGGCCGACGACAATGCCACAATGAGCACTACTCTGGAAGATGCTCTGTCACATCGGTCTGGCTTACCAGGTCATATATTTGCGATGACAGGCGCATATCCGGATGAAACGTTGCGCGAAGCGGTCCGGAAACTCAGACACCTTCCTCTGGCATATCTACCGCGAACAACATTCGACTATTGCAACCACATGTTTATGGTAGTCTCTCATGTCTTGGAGCAGATCACAGGTGAATCGCTGGGCGAGTTCCTGCAAAAGCGCGTCTGGAGCCCACTCAATATGAACGACACGTACTTTTCTGTCCAGGATGTCAAAAGGTGTCCATTAACTAGTCCAAAGCTAGTCCAAGGCTATACGTGGGTTCCAGAAAAGGGCTGCTATGTGGCCGAGCCACATATGAATTATGCACCCACGACTGGAACAGGGGCTATTGTTAGCAATGTTCTTGATTATGCAAAATGGTTGCGAGCCATGATATACAAAAAGGCGCCAGTATCGCCAGAAGGGCATACATCGATCATTCATCCCCGGACCGTCGTCTCCAAAGACGATGGGGATACTGTATACCCCCCTGCACCTTACCACCTGTACGCTCTGGGCTGGTTTGTGGACACTTATCAGGGTCAACAATTATACTGGCATAGCGGGAGCTGGGCTGGATTCGGGATCATGGTGGGCTTCATCCCTGAGAAGCAGTTTGGGTTTTCAATAATGGGGAATACTCAAAGGGCTAGAAACGCGCAGTTGGAGTTATATCTATACCTCATCGATACGTTACTGGGAGTGTCGGGTAGTGAGCGGGAACAGTTTGTCCAAGATATGACGAAGAGGATGTCCGACATCACGGAAAAAAGATCCGAAAGCATCTGCGAGACGAAGAAACGATTGTTCCCTTCGTTGCCGGCCAGGCCACTGCCCCATACCCTCCCATTGCATGCGTATACTGGAATCTACAGCCACCCGGGTTATGGCATCATTGCACTGAGGGTCGAAGATGGACAATTGCAGGCGGACCTAAGCGATCGGGTGGAAGCGATGACCATCCATTTGGAACATACCACGGGGGAATTTTTCGTGGCGATAATGTGTACAGCCAGTACGTCTGAGTGCGTCCGGGCTGAATTCTATGTCGACTCAGCTGGGACGGCACGGAAACTTGGGATGGAGTTAGAGCCAGCATTAGGGGGACAAAAAATTTGGTTTGGCCGCTGTGGATAATCAGTGATGTCTCCTTTACGAATTTACGAGTCGGATACTTTTCTTCATTGTGGGAATCCGATCGAGATCATATTGTTGGCGTAGGAGTGGGGAGCTGATCGCAGCGCTGGTGCCAGACATCTAACCGAGAGTTTGGAAGATCGACAGGATCCCCCATTAGGTTGCCTTATCCTGCCTAGCAGTGCCTAGATTTAGACAAATAGTGGGACGTATGCCTGGAGAGCGGTACCAATTCTGCCGCCGAGGGGGTTAAACTTTTAGTTGTTTGGAAATTTGATTTAAGGAAGCTTCGAACTGCTGGTGGAATTGGATGTGGTAGATGCATTCTATTTTCCTCTCTTATTCGTTTCTGGAGCTATAAATCCGTGGCTAACTTGAATACCACTTGTCTTTCTTTTGGGTATAATCGGGATCGAGTTTTGAGCTCTAGCAGCGAACATCATGGCAGCGACACATTTTCTTCCATCATTGCCGACGAAACACCAGGATCTCATTGGCTGGATCAACAAAAGTCAGGATACGCCGATTGCTCAGCTTCTTAAGCCGTACAATGAGTACGAAGCGGTCGTACGTAAGCTTTTTGCTCAGGAGCCGTCCCATCCTGCGCTACAGGACAATCACCTCAATATCGTACCGCTCTATGACACGAGTGGGAAGACCATTGTCCTAAGTCAGCCTCGAGATCCATGTTCAGAGTCACCCGACCTTCAGGAAAAATATATCATGCCCCTGAAGCCAGAATCTCGTAGGGCTTCTGGTGATCCTGCGGTGGTGTCGAGTTTAGAGGACTTTCGGAATAATTTCAACATCTTCTCAGAAGGATCTTTGAGTGACATGGACTGGAGCAATGTTGTCGTGGCAGGAAGTGCCGTGGTGACTTGCCTCATGCCAGTCCCGGAAGAGTACCGTGGCTCAAAGCGCGCCTTACGACAGTTCTACCATGACAAGTACGCACCGGCATCTGATGTCGACCTCTTCTTGTATGGCTTGACCGAAGAACGAGCAATCGAAAAGATAAAACAAATCGAAGACAAGGTAAAAAACGCCATTCTTTATGAGACGACAACCATACGAACCAAGAATACAATTACTATCGTCTCACAATACCCCACCCGCCACGTACAGATTGTCTTACGTATATACAAGTCTATCTCGGAGATCCTGACCGGATTCGATGTTGACTGTTCCTGTGCCGCTTTCGATGGCAAGCAAGTTTATGCTTCACCACGTGCCCTTTCTGCATATATCACCCAGACGAATACGATCGATTTGACTAGACGCTCGCCATCTTATGAGAATCGCCTTTCCAAATATTCACACCGAGGCTTTGAGATATTCTGTCCGCAGCTAGAGCGGAGCCGTATCGATCCAGTAAGGTTGCCCCTTTCCTAAGCGTGTGGCTCCTCTGTCTAACATGCTTCTAGACAATCTATGAGAGGAGCTTTTCAAGGACTGTTGGCCTAGCGCGTCTTCTAGTGCTAGAAAGGTTGCCGAAGTCATCCGATAGGGACGCTTACCTAGAGCAGAGACGAGAGGAGCGTGGCCGTCCGGCTCGACAACAGCAGATGCGAAGCCTCAGGTCACTACATGGTAACATTAAAAGTGACTGGGAAGATGAAACTCCTGAGTGGATGGAGGGGGATGAATATTCGGACTATCATACTATGGTGTGTTACACCTCCCCCCATAATATAGGGCTACTCTTGCTGACCCCACTGGAAGACGATTCCCTATGGGCCGAAGTTCCATGCCAAGAGGATTGAGCGACTGGTGTATACGAAGGACTTACTTCTTAATGCAGAATGGAACAGGCCAAAAGACAGGGACGTCAATTTGCATCGGCATCCGGCATTTTTTGGTAATGTGGAGGATGTAATTCACGACTGTTGTGGTTATTGTCCTGAACCCGTGACTCCGGAAGAAAAGGAAGTCGCAGAGAAAGAAGGCAAGAACTATATCTCTGGAGATATCTCCTTCATTAGAGATGATCCTGGACGCCAGGAAATTGGCAGCTTTAACCCTATTACAGAGACCGACTGGACAGGTTTGTGTTCCATGTTTCCGTTGAACTATTGTGGCATCTACTAATCGCCAAAGCAGAGATGGCATATGTAGGTAATACTGAGCAGCTATGCCAGGCTATAATCGACCATGATCTTGCTGCTGTCCAGGAGTGGCTTTCTCAAGAACAAAGTGATCCCAACAGTCGCGACTATACGGGACGGACCCCGCTACATCTGGCTTGTATGGCTTCAACACCAAAGATTGTACAATGCCTTGTCGATCACGGTGCGAGATTAATCTCTCGCTTGGCAGATGGCAGAACTGCTTTGCATATCGCAGCTGCTCGAGGCGATGTTGAGATCATTAGAATATTGCTCCATAAAAGCGAAGAAAATGAAGCCGAGGAGGATAAAAGGCAGGAGCTTTGCAAAGCAAAAGCAGCCCAATATAGTCAACATGGTGCTGACGAAGCGCGCAGTGAGCCAGATGACATTGAAACAGTTAGCATGGAAGTGGACGCAACCTCATACACTTCTGGATCATTTGTCAAAGTCCAAAGAGAAGGTGACGATGCTACCAGCACCGAAAGACTACCTGAAGATGAAAATGTGCAAGAACCAGATATCTATGATATAAATGCTGTGTCCTGGGACAGCCATACATCTCCTCTACACCTTGCCATACTCAATGGTCATGTTGACGTGGCGGAAGAACTCGTCGCGTCTTTCGGAGCTGACGTGTTGCTCCCAATAAAATTGCTGAACAGCCATAACAACAGCCCAAGAAGTGCGCTTCTAACACTAGTACTCACGCTTCAACTCCCTCTAGAAAATGCCAAAGCGATGGCCAAGAAGCTTCTACAGTTGGGTGCCTCGCCGGCCCAGGCTGACCTCAAATACAACACGCCATTACACTACATTGCTGCCTCAACATATGACGACCTTATTGATGTCTTCCTCGATCAGAACGAACCAGTCACACTGAAAGCGATTAACCATCTCGCCTTTGTTGGATATTCCTGGAACCCTGATGCCTACTCCGCGTTCATGACCGCAATCAATACGAAGAATCCAATCGGTGCATTGAAACTTCTCCAAGCTGGTGCTGAGCCCTCGATCGACTTTGAGAAGTTTGTGAAGTCTGGTCAGATACTGGACAGCATACGTACAAACTCATCAGAAAGGAATCGTGAAATTTTCAGACACAACTTTACGCAGCCCGTTATCCTAGCTGTTCAGAAAGAATTACCAGAAGTGGCTCTAGAGCTAGTGACTCGTGGCGTTGATCCGAACACGTTATCGCCAGACGGATATAAAGTGGAGGATGATGACTACGTGCGAGATAGTCTCCATGGTAAATCTCTCCTGGACTGTGTCCGTGACAAGATCAAAGAATTGCAGCAATACCAAGGCGAAGTGGTTGAATTAACTGCGCCACGGCCACTTGAGCCTGATTCCTTCTACCTGAATGATTTTGAAGCTAACACATATCAATTGTGGACGGCGGAGCGGGAATTGAGCAAGGCAAAGAAATCATACGAGAAAAGGCTGAAAGCATATGAACAAGAAATCAGTGATTTTCAGAACAGGAAAGGGGTCGAGTCGAAGCTGCACGCGATACGGGACCTAGTTGAACAATACGAAAAGCTAGAAACTGCTCTGTTCGAGAAAGGCGCCAAGACGTTTACGGAATTGTTTCCCAATTTTGAAACACCGGTTGATGACGATGGGTCATTATTGCCAAACAGGAACCGTGATGACCCATTCGAACTGGAATTTACATTCAACGTCTCTGATCTCACCGATGAAAAGAAGGGTGGATATATCAAACTGTGAGTATCCTAGTAACCTGTCCCTTGGCATTGACTGACGACTAATATCGTAAAGCTTTGAGGCAGCTTGGCGTGGTGACTTAGACACCATTAAGTCTCTCACACTGGCCATGTGGGGCGAGGGCAATGAACAGCCTCCCTTGCGAATTGCTATAAAAGACTCTAATAGACTCTCGCCATTTTCAATCGCAGCAGTTCGGGGTCATCTGGACGTGGCGAAAGCAATCTTGAAGATTGTTCAAGCACAGTATAAAGACAAGGAGCCTAGTGGCCACGAGAGGTTTGAGATAGGCAGTGATTGCAGTGGTGAAGACTTGGAGGATAGCGGCAATCTTCGCATCTACAGCGAGATTGTTGATGATAAGTTCACCATAGACGATATAGGTGAAGTGGCCACGCAGGTGGAGAGCCATATTACTCCACTTGAGGTACTAAAGTGGTATTGCCCAAAGTCCGAATGGTTCACCAGCCGTGAAGTCAAGGCTAAATTTCGCGAGAGCCCCTTTGGCAAGCCATCTGATCTTTTCGAGTATGCCATTTGGATGGACAATGTCAAGTTGCTTATCTTCTTACTTGAAATTGGAGAAGAACTGTCTTCCATGGACACCAGTTCTGAGTTCACCGCTTTCGGAGTGGCGAATAAAACGGTTCATCTAGCTATAGCAGAGGGTCGACTCCGCTGCCTTGAAGAACTTATCAGGAGAACAGGAGCGGACCTCCCCTTGGATGCTCTTGTCCAGGAAAGCGGCGTTCAGGTTCATGAAAAGCCAAAATACTACCAAGGGCTCTCTATCCATGGAAAGAAGAGAGCAGACTGGGCAGCTGCTGGGCGCGGACAACTGCGCCATCATGCGAATAAAAGCTCGCCCTTACTTGTTTCTGCTGTGCTGGGTAGTCTGAAGAGCACTGAATGGTACATGAGTACTGCTCCGAGCAGATATTATCTCGAGTTTTCCGGGACCCATGAGCAGGACCATAGGCTGAAGCTCCTAGCAAAGTCAACCGGTGGCATTGAGAAGTGTCTCATGAGCTGGCTCAACGCAAAAAGTATGTACTCTTTGTTTATTTATATATCTCTGAATGCTGACATATGTTACGACAGACAATCTGGTCTTGCATTGCGCCATTCTCTCTACGCCGACGTTGGAATCCCGGCACCTTGTCG